ATAAAAAAAAAAAAAAAATTTTTTTTTTTCTTTTTTTTTCCTTCTTTTTTCCTTCTTCTTTTTTTTTACAAATTATTAAATAACTATAAATATTATATCATAATAAAGTTTTTTTTTTTATTAAGATTATCTTGATTCAAATATTATTTCAAATTTATCACGCGACCCGTTCAAATGTAAAATTAATTGGACATAATTATTTGAACCCTTTTTTTTTTTCTTTGTGTGTCAAAAACCCTTTGTGTTTGATATTTGTTTTCTTTTTTTTTGCCTCGTGTTTTTTAATTACTTTATTATTCGTTCACTATATTTCTTTACATTTTATAATAATATAAATCCTTTATCCAATAATAATGACCAAGATTATAAAAAAAGATTAATAAAGAATCATAAAGGATTAAAATATTTTAATAATATTTTAAAAATATTTAAAATATAAATATTTAAAATATTATAAACCAATTATCAAATTATTATTATTAAACCCTTTTTTTTTAAAAAATCCATAATATGCAAAAGAATGTATTCAATGTATGTATTCAATGTATCAATGTAACTGCATAATCTATTGTAAATAAATAGGGATTATTCAGGAAACTCTATAAAATCAAAAAAGAAAAAAAAAGAGAGAGAAAGATATTTATATATATATATATATATATTCATAATTTTCTTTCATTAAAACTTAAAAACTTATAAATAACACACATATATATATATGTAAAGTATGTAACAAATAAATGTACTACTACTATTAATTCTTTGATATAAATAATAGAATAATAAAAACATAATTTTTTTTTGTGTCGCGTCATAACAACTTGTTTACGTGGATGTTTAAGTAATCACTTTCGTCAGATTTGATTGATACTAAAAAAGGTAATGTAAATTACCCTTTTTTGTTTAATATATTATTTTTTTGGAATTGATCACCTTTTTTTAAAAGAGGAAAAAGATCACTTTAGGCAAGTTTGTAACATAATATAATATTTATATATATATATAAAGCAATTTTATTTTTTTTTTCTTTTTGTCATTTTTGTGCTTATAATCATTCGAATTAAAGCAAAAACATTTCAAAATTGTATCTCATAATTTTTTTTGTCATAAAAACAATCTCTAAATATTTTTTTTTTTTTTTTTTTTTTTATTATCATTCAATTGTTCTTTCTTCTAATATAGTCTTTAATTTATCTAATTGAGGTTAAAATAAATGATTATGAAATAGCTTTCATAAGAATTTATTTATGATTACGATTACTAACTTTCTTTTTTTAAAATTCAATCATTTGAATAAACATTGTGTATATTGTTCAAAATTGGAATCTAATCTTCTAGTAAAAGATCTTTTCTTTTACATATAAATTAAAATTATATTTAATCATATATAAAATATTTGGAAATTTTTCTTGCTAGGCTAAAGTTAGAATTTCATAAAACGGCCCGATGCAAATGTTGCATATATTCGGTCTCTTTAAGGGAATTGATTTCTTTTTTTAACTTGATGTGATGAATGTGATGAAGTGATTGGGGTGATTATGTATGATGTGACGAATGCAATTGAACAATAGATTTTGGTTTATTTTTTTTTATGGTGACAAATTATTGTTGTTTGGGAACGGATCATAAATATCATAAATATCATAAATAACACAAATAACTTAAATATCATAAATGTAAATAAATGTAAATAAATGTTATCTTTAAAGAATCTTAAAGATATTCGAATGATAAAAATTGATCTTTTTTTAATTTCCTATTGATTTTCGAGATCGCGAACGTCTTCTTTTTCAAAAGAAAAAAGATTTATCAAGGTCGTTCAGACGATCTCATCAAAATTATGATCGTCTGTTATTTTATCACTGTGACAAAACCAAAAAAAAAATAATTATAATTCAACAATGTTCTTTAAGCCACGATCATCGGATATTTCATAATGATATTGCCGATATCAAAAAAAAAAAAGGTCCATCTTGTCGAAAATGTAAATTTAAATAAATTTTACAAATTTTTTTTTTTTTTTTTTTGCAGTGTTCTAGACTTCCAATTTCGGTATTCTAAATCCGGTATTAATAACTGCGTAAAAGAGAAAATATTATTTATTGGAGAGAGAGTAAAATAAGTAATCCGAGTAATCCGGAAGCCGGTCCTTTCAAATATATTATTTTTTGATGATCCTATTAAAAAAAAATCGCCGATTTCTATATATTTTTATAATTTTACCATCCAATCCTAATATGACTTAGATCGATTTACATATAAATATATACATCATACTTGTAAATAATAAACTTACATAATCATTACAAAGCAATTTTGTTCCGTGTTTGGTTTTTTTGTGTTTAAATCCCGATACATTGGAATTATGTCTCAATTGAATTACAAGATCTTCATATTATATATCTTTAATATATCGGCTCAAATCTTATTTAAATAAGGGGATAGAGTTATTTTTTCCCTTATTATACTACTGTAAATTAATATTATAATTATACTGTATATAAAAAAATTTTTCTACTTTTTTTATATAAATCCTTCGTAAAAAAAAGCAGGTTGGACAAGTAAAATAACTTTTTTTCATCAAAAAAAAAAAAAAA